CCAAATGCAACAACGGCTTTGGCGCGAAATTCGTTTTTCAAATGGATGTGCTGCTGAACAGCATAATCAGCTGCACCTACTCAGCGCTCTTGATATCTCTTTTGATTATTTTATAATACTAATGGGTATCAGCGACATTCGCTTACTGAAATGAGTCTTCCTTTTGCATCAATTACAAAAAGCTTATTTCGATGATATAAATGACTATAATTGTGCAGAGCATGGGCATACTTGGACAACCGCATATCGAACTTGTGAGCAGCGATTGAGCGTTTTCGTTTGAAGATGCAATTTGCCAATATAAACAGGAGTGCATTTGGCACCCATGAGATCCCATCTTTGCGTTTTTTCATTGTAAATTTAGACTTGCGGGTAGAATGCGGTAAGACAATTGTAGATTGACCGAGTCCGCCTCCCAAAAAGACCTGATGTAGCTGCTCGATCGGATTAACGACTTTCATTAGTACAGTGCAAACTATGCTGACATTGCACGGCTCTTCATTAGTCTCCTAAAACGCATGTCAAATGGTACTGTGAATTTGACAGGAGAGGTCACCTTTGTAGCTGTGAAGGCAAGCCTCATGTATGCCTTGATTCTGACTCTTCTAATAGCCTTTCCATATCGTCTGTTACGCCTTGACTTTTTAAAATGATGTGCCTCTCTTCAAGCAAATGTCAATAGGCGTGTTCGCGTTCGAGTCTCATCAGCTGACATATTGTGAGCAGAGCTACCGTGTTCTAGCAAAGGGCTACTTGCAATTAAAACGCATTTTTCATAGAAATTCTACACCTGAATGGCTCTGAGCTGTTTTTGCTCTATACAGAATGTACACAGCGACGCCATCAGCACATCTCTATGGTCAATATTCATTGTCGAGTGCATCTTTGAGGTAATAGTTCAGCGTAGTAAGATAGCGAACGCGACTTCGCGTAGCCCCGGCATTTGACTGTCGCATCTTACAATGGTGAGGTCGCCGATTGACCAGGCGATAAGTACAGCGTACCGGTCAGAAGCAAAGTGTTGGACTGCTAAATATAATTTAGTAAAACTCACCGCCTGTCGGAGCACGTATAGCACGTTTGCACCACTATGCCTTACCCATAAATTTGTCACAGCATTGACCCACAAGAAAGTAGTGCTATACGATGAGAACCTCAGGTACACAAAATTGTACGAGACACATGATACCCCTTTCGGTAACAATTTTGGAAAAAAAATACTGCTCTGTAAACGCTATAAATTGGTAGTTCAATATGTATCATCAGTAATTACGGACTATACTGTCGATGCATGCGGCAATCTCTATAGTTTACCGTTCGGCTCCGGTAGAATATGACAGTCCATAAAAATTAAATTCAATTTTGGTCATTGAATAGACGCGTTCTTTAAATACCAAGCTAGTGGTTATTGTGGATCGTCTGATCAAGATGAACTAACTTGCTGCTCTCAGCGATAGCGTGACCGATGAGGGTAAGTTGAAGCTGAAGATTATGCCAACATGGATTATTGATAGTCATTGTATTGGATAGAGATCCTTCTATACAGCAAATAATTGGCAGACATTGTACATGGTGCTTGACATTAGATTGTACATATCATCCGCTGGTCATTTGCAAGGGGGTGGTCATAGAGAACGCGTGAGACGCACTGTGGTGGATTTTGCCAAAGCACTCGCGCGGCAAGACCGCGGTGCTGGTGTGAGATGCTCGTCTTCATTGACTTCGCGCTAATTATTTGTAGTACATGAAATAACAGACTTTACTTCATTTTACATGAATGACTAATAGAAAGCTCGGGTGCTTTTGACAATGCCGCGTAGCGGCACCAATCTTTGCTGGGGGCTGTCGATCAAAATTGACTTGCTTTTATTAGCCCTTCTTTTCTTTGCAGTGAAATAGATGCCTTTATTGCGATGAATTTGATCGTCATGCGCAGGGATCGAGACACGTTAGCTTACAGTCTATACAAACAACAACAACAACACGCTGATGCCAGTGGCCGGCTACAGACACAGAAAGGCAAGATTTACTTTTAACCAACACCTTTTACGGAATGCAATTAATTATCTACACATGCAGTGTCAGCCGTAAATGAAAACGGGTTGCCACTGCGCTAAATCGAGCTGTTCACGATTGTAATTTCAAAGGATTGAGTTGTACCTTCAATATCTTTACATGATTGCAAACACATCCAGTGTTCTACGTGGACGTATTGCAGCCGTACAGTGATCCCACTCTAGAGAGCCAGCTGGAAGTGAAGATTTTTCGTGTAGATAATACGATGTCGCCAACTTTCTCCGTAGCTGGGCTGGTAACCTTTGCTTAAAAGCAGCAACGCAATTTGAACCTCTGGGGGTTACTCGAATATGGCAGCAAAGCTGATACATCAAATACGATGACTGGTTCATCTCAGCCGCGGATTCCCGCCGTTAACCCCGGTAAGAGGTTGCGCGCTATCCTAATCGAGAGAGCTTTTCAGAGTCAGCCGTTAAAGAGCCAGCTTTCATCGGCATTGTTCGATGATCATGGATTGGTCCACATTTACGTGGAAAAGCTCACCCTCAACCCAAGAAGGCGTGAAATTTGAGGTTACACTACGGCAATATTGCTCAAGCCTCATGACTGCATACGACCTGGCACACTCTTGGCCTTTATTTTCTTTGCTGTAGAGGCAGGTTCGCTGTCGTAACGCTTCTCAATGATATGAGGCAGATGATCTTCCGCTGAAACGGATTATTGGTCGGTTGCCGTCACAGCTGTCCCATGGAGACGAGCAAGGCTGTGAGAAGCTGAAGCTAATGGTGATGAGCTGACCTCTGACGTCTGCGTCGTGTTTGGTACTTTCCAAAGTCAAATTAAAATAAGCTGTCTTGATTAGCCTTAAAAAAGTAAGGGGACGTACTTCATCAGCTGGTGCGCGAGCTGAGTAAGGGGGCGTACTTCATCAGCTGGTGCGCGAGCTGAGTTTGAAACTCGTCGTCATTTTCGCCGGCTT